TTCTTTGGTTCCATAGTAGATCTGATATAAATGAGTTTCATATTAACTATTTTTGTCTAGATGAATATCATGATCACATTACATTGGTAATACAATTGTGACGTTAAACAAACAATATTGATCACTGAAATTCTTGGTAATACCAATGTTCACTTTGTCTGGTTTTGTTGCAGTATGCCCCATATCACTTAACAAATGGGGCATTATAAACTAATTGTGATGATAATAACTAAATTTTGATCCTTGAAATTTTTGGTAATACCAATGTTCACTTTGTCTGGTTTTGTTGCAGCATGCCCCAGTATGAACTGAAAATGGTATAAATAAGGTTACACGTGGATAATAGGACTTTTGATATTACTAGCCTGGTAATATTTCTTGTTGGATTTTTCTTTGGAGATATCATTGGTGATACTCTTTTTTTTAACCTGAATATTCTTTTCTATCTCATTTAGAGGTTCCTTTCTATTTATCTCTTTTTTTAGATAATTTATTATCTAATTTTAGGACTTTGCTTTTGGTTATTTTTAGGATTAGTTTTATTTTCCTGGGTAATTGGCATGGTGTACATGTATTTTTTATTTGCCATTCTATACCAAAAAAAGACATGACAAAAAAAAAGATTAATCCTCTTACACAATCAATTGATTCCGCACTGAACATAATTTCGAATCTTGTATAATAAATTAAACCAATTTTTATTTTGTGATTTTTCATTCTATATAAATAAATACATTCATTATATTAAAAATCCAATAAAAAATATAATAAAAAATAAAGATTCTATCCTCATTATAATTAAATATATATATTATTATAAAAGTCTATGCTCCTTCACATTAACAACTACACCAATGCTAATAATTATTCAACCTTGATTTTTGTTGGGGGAGCTATTAAGCAATAAATTAAAATAATTAGTAAATTATAAAGATTAAAAACTAAATAATTAAACAATTTATTCGTTGTTTCAATTTACTTGCTTATTGTTTATCATATACATACCAACATATACACGACTCAATAATTTCATTATTTCATCTATAAAAATAACAGGTATTGATATATATATTACTGCTTGCCATTCTGCCCAATTTAAAGGTACGATTGCAAAAAGCATCTATATAATTAAAATTTATCAAAAGTGTTTAATAATATATATTATAAAAAATTTCACTAATTATAAGAGACTTACCGAAAAGAATGGAACATAAAGTATCATGAAATGTAATAACATTGAAAGACAAATTGAATAGACAAGGTACATGTTACACCATACTGGAAGGGTTAATAAACTTTCATTTTCACTAAGAGAGTTTGTGGCATTAAACATTTCGATGGTCACCAAAACAGAAAGCGACATTGTGGTTGCACGCATAGACATTATATTAGAAAACATTTCACAACCAATTTCCGGAAATAATTCATTGCATCTGTGAAAATTAGACTAATCATAAAAATAAAATAAATTTTTGATTGAAAAATTCATTAAAAAAATTTTTATAGAAAAATATAATGATTTTTACCAATTGATAAAAAGAAATTTGCGGTCCACCTTCATAAAACAAAAACCACCAAGCATATGCAAACACCGTAGCAGCACCAACATAAGTACCAACAATGACATATCGAAAGAATAACCATCTTCCAACAATAGGCTCACGAGCATTTCTTGGTGGACATCTCATTATATCGTGATCTGGAGGATTAAATCCAAGTGCAACAGCTGGAAGACCATCAGTTACAAGATTTACCCAGAGAAGTTGAACAGGAATTAATGCTTCTGGCATGCCAAGTATTACTGTTAAAAAAATACTAAAATATATATTATATTTAAATTGTCAATATTCTTTAATTTAAATAAAAAATTTAAAATTAATAGAAAATGTAAAATATATTTACCTAACAACTTCACCAATATTTGAACTTATTAAATAACGAATAAATTGTTTGGTATTGTTATATATAGATCTACCTTCTTCAATAGCACCTTCAATGGATGCAAAATTATCATCAGCAAGAACCATATCAGCTGCTAGCTTGGCAACATCTGTTCCAGATCCCATTGCTATACCAATATCAGCTTTTTTGAGAGCTGGTGCATCATTCACACCATCACCTGTCTATTTCATAATAATATGAATAAGATTATTTTCGACTATGAAGAAAGAAATAAAGAACGTATATATTCATAATACGTACCATAGCAACTATTTCACCTTGACTTTGTAGTAAATCAACAAGTTCGCTTTTGTGAGTTGGTTCAGTTCTTGAAAACAAACTAGCTTGCTTTACTACTACTAATTTTTGATCATTTGACATTTGATCAAATTCTCTACCGGTATATGACTTTCCTGTTAAATCTTCATGTTCGCCAAAGATACCAATTTTTCTACAGATAGCTTCAGCTGTATTTTGATTATCGCCAGTAATTACAATAACACGAATACCAGCAGTCACACATTTTTTTATCGATTCAACAACCTCCGGGCGTGGTGGATCAAGCATACCAACAAATCCAATAAAAGTCATGTTGTGTTCTATCTGGATAAATGCATTAGGATCATTAAGGTCGTATCCGCTCAAGGATGATGATGTCAATCCATCAATTTTTGCAATAGCTAAAACACGTAAACCTTGTCTACCATATTCTAAAATTTTTTCATTTAATCTTTGCCTAATTTTGGGAGCTAATTCTGTAGTCGCAGGACTAATATCTGATGATAAACGTACAAATTTGCAACGATCAAGTACAGATTCTGGTGCACCTTTTACAAGTAATGTAGCTGAAGAATCAACTTTAGTTGACTGAACTAGAACAGACATAGATTTTCTATCACGTGAAAATTCATGTGTAGCAATCTAAAATATAGAGTATAAATACAATATTGATTATACACTTTTTAACAAATAGCAAAATATTAAATAAATATTAAAAGCTTACACGACGATTATGACTATCATAATAGTTATTACAAGCAGTTGTACGAGCTTTTGATGATAAAGTAGAAAGGGAAGAATTGAAATGTGAATTATCAGTGCCAAGTTTTTCAACAAGAACTTTAAGAGCAGCTTCTGTAGGTTCACCAACATTATGATACGTAGAAGTTGACTAAATGTTATTAATGTAAAATTACTGTTATTAATAAATTACTTATAGAGCAGATAATTACAATAAAAATAAAAACTGAAATATTTACATCATCATAGGCAATCTGTGAATCATTACATAAAGCACAAACTCGAGCCAAATCATTTACACAAGCATTAATTACAGGAAGTGATTCGACAATTTTGCCATCAGAAGTGCTGTAAATAATTTTTATTAGCTTTTTTTTTTTTTTTGAAATGAATAAGAGTATAAATGTAAATATATTAAAGAATAACTTACAAAATATCACCATGTGGAGCATAACTTGAACCCTCAACATGATATTCTTGAAATTCACAAGATTCATTAGACACAACAAGTACCTAAATAATTATATATTAGTTTATTTGAAAATTAGATATATATAAAATATGTGTATGTATGTGTATGTATACATGTATGTAGTATATATGTATGCATACCCTTGATACACTCATACGATTTGTAGTAAGAGTACCAGTTTTATCGGAACATATAATACTGGTGCAACCTAATGTTTCTACGGATGGAAGAGAACGAACAATAGCATTCCTTTTTGCCATTTTTTTGGTACCCAAAGCCAAACAAGTAGTAATAACTACAGCCAATCCTTCAGGTATTGCAGCAACAGCTAATGCAACAGCAATTTTGAAATAATAAATAGCACCTTTAAGCCAACTATGATGTGAAGGATCATTGAAATGACGAATGTTTATAACCCATACAAGAACACATATAACCGATATAACCTAATTGAACATATGCAAAATTGAACATATTATTAATAATATTGATAATTTATATAAATTTATTTCTATTATAAAAATAATGATGATTACTTTAGCAAGTAAATCACCAAATTCGTCCAATTTACGTTTTAAAGGAGTTTTTTCAGATATCTGAGTTGTAATACTTTTGTGAATATCTCCTATTGCGGTACTCGACCCTGTTTGAACTACTACTGCACGGCCTTTTCCTAATACGACTGTGGTCCCCTTTAATTAATAAAGGAATATAAATATACATGAATAAATAAATAAAAAATATATATATATATATATAAAATTAATATCAAAATAATTACCGAAAATAATATATTTTTTTGATCTTGTTTTACAGCGTTTGGATCGTTGATTGCTTCAGTGATTTTGTTAACACTGACATTTTCACCAGTTAATAGAGATTGATCAACACGAAAGGTGGAAGAGCTAATTTTTAATAAACGAGCATCAGCAGGAATTTTATCACCCACAGAAATATCAATAATATCACCAGGGACAAGTTCAGATGAATGAATTTTAAAGTGATGACCACCACGTAAAACTTTTGCTTCATCAGGTGAATATTCTTTTAAAGCCTAAATGCGAAAGTTCCATAAATTTAGGTTTTTGATAATATATAAATTTCAAAGTATCGATCAAACAAATAAATTACCTCGATAGCCTTTTCAGCATTAGTTTCTTGAACTACACCGACAGTAGCATTTGCAATTAAAATTAAAAGAATAACAATTGGCTCAACAAAAGCTGTTCCTTGTTCATTCTCGCTTTCCAATAAAGCAAGTACAAAAGATATTGCGGCAGAAATCAAAAGAATTATTACAAGTTGATCTTTAAATTGTTCTAAAATAAGCTCTATTAAAGGGGTAGGTTCTTCTTGAGGAAGTTCTTTTATAAAGAAAATTTAGTCATTAAAAATTTGATCTATTTTAGTTGATCAAAATTTTTTACGTTTTCCACAAAAAAAACAGATCAACAACTAATTTCAAAATACCATTTTTTCCATATTTTTCGATTGCCTTTTGGAGTTGTTTCTCAGTTAAACCATGTTCAATGTCAACATCAAAATATTCTAATAATTCTTGTGGGGTTTTAGTATAAGCTTCATCCATTATTATTGATAATAATAATTATATTATTATTATTATTATTATTATTATTATTATTATTATTATTTACTTAATAATGTTTTGACAAACTAACAATAGTTGAAATAATTGAAGAGATTTTTAAGATTATTGCTTACTAAAATTATTATTATTATTGTAGTTAGTTATTATTTAATTAAATAAACGATTCAAAGGTTTTTTTTTTATTAACATGGTTGATATTGACCAATTCATTGGATATTATCTATCTAATACTCTGACCAATTAAAATAAGTCACGTAATCTTTGATTGTCATTATTATATATAATAAAAAAAAAATAGATTAAATTTTAAATCAAAAAGACGACTATGTAAAATTTTTGATGAAAGAAGGAAACTATATATATAATAAATGTGCGAGACATATAAGAAAATATTGACAGATAAAATACTAAATAATATGAAATAAAACAATCCCAACAAATTAATATGCCTTCTTTTTCTCATCAATTGAAATTCCACCAGGACCCATGTTTACTAATAGTAATAGTCCACCAACAATACTAAGTGTTTGAAAGAAATCATATTTCAAGAAATCACGTTGTGGATCAGCATGATGAACTGACCAAAAGTTATTGATAAATATATTAAAGACGGAAAGAAATAAGACCAAAAAAGTAGCAGACCATTTAGCCTTGAAACCGACAACCACCATGACACAAGCAATAAACCCAATTATAGAAACTGTGAATCTTGTAATTGACCATTCACCATGAAATATAAAACCAATAAATAAAAAGATCAAAAGAACACGTCCAGCCAACTGAAAATAAGTTTTACGATCACGCTCTGATAATTGTGGAAGATCAGCAAATACAGATTTTTTTTTTGAGAAAGCATCAGATAATACCATCAATAGACCACCTGTTACTGAAAGACTTCTTAAAAAAAAATTTAATTCAAAAAATAAACCATATCCAATTGATTGTGTTAATATTACTAGGAATAGACTAATAACTGCATATTCTGGATACTTTCTTTTAATTACCAAGAATGAGCCTGCAAACATTGCCTTTTAAAAAAAATTTATTACTATTATTATTATTATTATTATAATTATTTGTCCAAAATAATAAATAAACTTATAAAAGCATTAAAACTTACAACAACATTTCCAAACAAAAAAATATGTGTTAAACCCCATGGAATATGTCTCACTCTTTCAAGATAGTATACTTGAGCACTCCACTGAAACAAAATTCTTAATGCATCTTCTAAAAATGTAGCGACGATAAGAAAACGAGCTATTGCAGGAATATGGGGCTTCAAAGGTTGAGAAATTGTTCCAAGAATATCTTCTGCTTTTGAAGAATATTTTGTAATTTGATCCATTGTTTATTCAAATTAACAATTTAAAACTAATATTGAATTAAATGAATGATAATACTAATAATATTAAGATAATGATGCCAATAATATTAATAACATTGTTAATAATAATAAAAAATTTTAAAAAACATACTTTTTGGAAAAAGGATTTTTTTAACACAAATGTTTTTTATTTTTGCGTGTGTATGTGTGTGCGTGTGTGCGTGTATGTGTGTATGTGTGTGTTTGTGTGTGTTTGTTGTTGGTAGATATATTGAATAAATATATCAAATAATAAATAAAAATAGAGTTTTAATCAAATATTTTAAAGAAGAAAAACCTAAATTTAAACATGTTACACTTGTCCGCTGATACAGTACAGATCATCCGTCTTTTCTCGTGAATATCATGTGATATGAATTTTTCCCATCGACCCAGGGTTGGCATAAACCAGGTACATAATATGGTTAAATTGAACCATCAACAGACCAGTATCACGGCCTTTGGGCATTGACATGCAATTTAAAAATAGATTTTTCTTCGTTCTAAAAAATTTTCAAAGAATAAATCGATATTAATATGGGGAAAAAAGATCTGCATTTTAAGGATTTAAGGGATATTTTAGGCGTGATGGCATGATTTCTAAACCAGAAATGAAAATATCACGTCATACTAGCAGTGTATATTGATATACCCACCAAATATTCGTTTTATATCCGGTTAACCAAATATTATTCATTAAGACGAACTCTATGTTACACGTAACAAATTGTGAACGAGTGATGATTTGCAGGGTGCATTTATAAAATAATACATCATCATCATATGAATCTTTTTTCTTTGAGTTCTTTTAACTCTACACATTATTTTAGAATTATTATATATTAAAATTTATTGTGTTACACTCCTCTAACGTTTTTAATGAGTAACGTGATACGTTCTGGTTGAATTTTCGCAACCTGTATTAACTCGAAATTACGGTTCGTTTCTACGTATTCAAACTATAGGACCTCAACATAGTTACTACCGAGTATTAACTTCAAGCTATGTGGTGCTTACATATTCATATAATCCCGGCTAAGTCTTTCCAGACCTATGTCGAGATCTACAAAGTGTTAATTTAAATTTAATTACATGGATCATTTTTTATATCAACATTTAATTTGTAAAATTTCCTTTCCTGCTCTTGGATCTTTTTGTAGTATTAATCTTTGTTGCTAATTATCAGTAATGTAATTTGGTTGAATTATATCAACAGAAGAGCATATTTTTCAATTCTTTGAAATCATCCATGTTTCCAAAGCAATTTTTCATTGAACATAACACAATTCCAAAATCATCTTTTTCCAACACGATACGTGTATAAGCATGGGGTTTTCAATTAATGCCATGTCATCAGATTAGTAAACTAAAATTATAAGCATGAATTAAATTTGTTGTCAAATCCATTCCTTGTTCTCGTTGATTAAATTATCATCAATCAACTCATTAGAAACATATCATATGTTTTGAAAAAATGATTAAATAATTTTAAAGTATATTTTGGCTATGCTTGTTTTATTTATTTATTACATAGTCAACCCGTTAGCCATTTTTATTTGAATTGGCAGGTACTTTAAACAACCAAAGATTATCTGGCTTAAGATAAAATTCGAATAATTTAAACAAAAAGTGATTTCAAAAAATTCTTTGGTTAAAAGCGTATATTTTTACACAAACTCGCTAATAAGTATCCGACCACCAAAGTCGTGTGACGTCAAATAAAAAGAGTCCTTACTAAAAAAAGTAACGTTTTCTTAAATAAAAGCGTTTTTACTTTACCAAGTAGTACTTGATATCAAAATCTCTAAATTACAAAAGCTTCGAAAGGTTCGGTATGGTATTAATGGAAACATTTAGCAAAT